CGCCCTAAAATATCATATTTGAAATATTCTTACTGTACTTGTCGATTTAAATGAAAGCCTTTTTTAATGGAAGAGGTTTGAGATAAAATGCCTTTATTCTGAAAAATGCGAACCAAAGAAACTTAAGAACTAGTCTTCTTTCTTCTACCACGTTTACTTTGATATGGTTTTGCTGATCGAGTCAACTGCCTTCACATCTTTCGGTCTTTGGTCAAATCTTCGGTCACGCTTCGTACTTCCACCTCCTCCTATATGACATCACGCCATCTTGCCTTTCCTGGAAGTATCGATCGCATTTCCAACTTGCTCGTCAGATCTTCAATTCACGTAGCCGAAAAAAAGGAACATGTTTTCGATCAGCTTTCCTGAAATTTCCTATTAAGAAGCTGTTCCGGATTTGGCTCTTTTGATGACTCCAAACATCCGCCTGAGCATTTGCATTTCTACGGAGTTCAACTGTTGCTAGTGTACGTTAAGGCTAGCCAAAAACTGCGCGGTGTATAGAAGTAGGCACTTCTCAGTAGTGCATAAGATTGAAATCCCATCAATCTGGCTGTGAATTACCAAAAGCTTACCGAAGAAGCCACGGCGGTAACTTGCTCGCCACCTCTGTAGGAAATTGGCTCATCATCCTCGAAATTCTTCCAAATTCTGACGTCTCCATCTGCCCCACAAGAGATGATATTTCTGAACATGAAATCAAGCCTCAAGCATGAATACCAGCCTCACAATAATGCATCGAAGAATACTTTGATTCAGTGTTGGTACATATACAGGTTATTCCTTCACAGTGACCGTAACGGAGAGGAATTTCTATCATCTTGACCAAACCGTCGTTTAAGCAAGGCTAAAACTGCAATCAGTTATGAGTTAAACATTTTAGCGTTGAATTTTTTGAACGTTTCGTTCATTTAAATAATTACATTATTGAACTCGTTGTTTACTTAGCCGATTTCTGCTAGATCTGCCATTATAGTTTGCAACACAGTTCCAGATTTCATACAAACATCCAAATCACCATTAAAAAAACTGTTCTGACACACAACGATCTATCATAGATAATCGTACTTTTCAGGCTCCTGTTCATAATGTCTTTAGATTATATTTGTGCCTCCAGCATTGAGTCACAATATTCTTCTTGACTTTTAGACTTCGATCTACTGAACTACTTCAATGAACTATTCCCTCTATAACATTTCGCTGCACGCAACTCATTTTACTGCCATAACACAAATCGACATAAATATGACGTTAAAAGAATTTTTCTATACAAATAACATGGATAAAATACGCCATACCGCAATGAATTTTTCTGATGCAGAACAAGGAAAGGAAAAAATTTTTTAACCCTTTGACTGCCAATCTTCCCAACAGTTTTGTGATGGGGCCATTTTGGTACCCTTCTTTCATGAACTGAACGGTGGGAACGCTGATCTTCACATTTCCATGTCATCGGCTAGGAATGACTTATTTTAAAAGCAGAGCCGAAAGCAGTTACATGACAAGTGTAAAGTATAGTCTGATGTTTTCTTCATATAGATTTATACTGATTTACCAACCTCTGGAGGAAGAAAGGAAAGCCACCTCTCGGTTCCTAGTCGAACGCTTTACCGACAACGAACTGAGTAACCCCGCTATTACTGAAGAAAGGCCTCTGTAGCAGTGAGGATCTGCACTAGTGTGCTGCAATGAGGATCCATCCCATCAGCCACTTTACGATTTGATGTTGTAGGAACATGATGACACACTCCTGTCTTAGTCGCGAGTTCTGTTCAAAAGTGGACACACCGTACAATGCGACTCTATCATCGAATCAATAGCGATGGATCCAGAATTCAATATCTAAGATTTCTCTCTCCACGATGACCAGCTGGATCTCCTCAGTGTTTCAATACTGTCATAGCCAACACGCGTACACACGTACTACTTTTACTGTTTTCAACCCTTGGCATTATTATCCTCGTTATAGTCGATCCAACCCATTCAGCTGGCAAGAATTATCGACGTGATTTCCATAAGCAAAATATCCGGGCAGATGACCCTGCCATGACTGAACCGCCATCTTAGTACCATATCCTAGCTCTGCCGGATGTAACATTTCTAGATCGAGGCATCTGTGGTCTGCTATACACATTACTATTCTATTTCAGCAATAAATCTACTCACAAATTTCAGACATGTTTTACAGCAGAAGAATCAGATTTTGTTTACACAGCAAGCGCAGAACTCCAGCTACTATCAACTTTTATAAGGGCAATACGTGATCATCTCACTTTTCAACTATACCAATAGGTGAAAAATCAAATTAATGAGATGGAGATTCACCCTTATATCTAACCGGTATTTAAGGGCTCAGGAATGAGAAAAGTGAGTAATCCGTTATGCTGCAGATCTAGTACGCTTACGTTACAAATGTACAGCACATATGATGCATTACGGAGTTAAGATTAAATTCTTAGGAAAGTCTACTAATTCGGATACATATTGATGTGATTCCCTGAAGAATCATGCACGGTACCACCTCTAAATGACTGTTCCAACGATCCCAGGGCAAGATATCTTATATCTCGCACAGAAGGTTATTGACTAGACAAAACTATATATTTTTCATGCCTTGGCTAGTCCCAGAGCCCCCTCCCCGGTAAAGGCGATATAATAAAGGCGGATGATCTGTGTAGGAGAGAAGGGCAAAGGCTGAATAAGCAACCAATAACTATGACGTTCTTGTCTGCCATATGTTTAAAGTCAATACAGTTTCAGCTTCCCCAGTCAACTTTAAACTTGTACAGTGGACTTCAAAACTGACAATTCTTTGCCATTAAATTTACTCCTTGACACGTGAATAACACAAGGTCAACTGACTGCTGGCAAACGTGGAGGAGAATAGAACCATTTCATCTTTTTCTCAGTATTCAGTCCTATAATACCGAAGCTGCTGTGAGATAGTTACGTGCTATATTACAAGTTACCGTTTCAACCGAACCACGGTAAATTCCTCTTTGATTTTTACGATAATCGTGTAGGCAGATCAAGCAACCACTCATTCACGCAGAAGGCCTTAATTCATTCATTACTTCATAGTTTACACGTATATATTTGAGAACGTAAATGTTATAGGCAACAAGACGACGTCAATAGCGATGTGCGTAATAAAACGGTAATGATCAGCAATAGAGTTAACGAACATCGAAGTGTTCGTGCCCAATAAAGTACTTATGACAAACAGAAGCATCCATTAGTCGTTTTCGACAAAACGCGTGAATACAGTACAACCCAAGAGGCAGCATAATTTTATAGCAGTCTTGTCTGCCCTTTGAACAGCGGATATTTACAGGATAGAACTAGAATAACGTCATTATTCAATCAAGAGTCCAAAAAGGTGCATAAATGGAGCCATATAAATCCAGCCAATTCCTAGTCGTTATAGTTTCTTCGTTCCATGTAACAAATATTTAAAAAATTCTCTTAAAAACTCTACAGCACTGAGACACCTCAAAAAACAATGAAAGATTCAGCCAAAGCGTAGGATCAAAGAAGCCCATGCTAACGTAGAAATACCGTAACTAGATACCACTTACCTTTCCCGCCCGATTCGCAGGTACAACAAAATACGAACCGAATATCTTATTTTGCAATCCATTATTTTACCATCCATATCTCAATGACCGAATGATTATACTGCGTTTTCTCTTCCATGATTTCAAAAAATAAATTTTTTAAAATAAAGTAAGTCCTGAAGCAGCGCTTGCCTTGATTGTTCTTGATCAGTAAGCAACTCTCGAATAAATCTTATGAACCCGTTATCTGTTCATCGCATGCCGACACTCTAAATTATAACTTAGCAAAGAAGAACAAACCGTACTTTTACTGCATACTATCATACGCTCTACTCTAGGTGCATTATTATCAGTCTCCAAACGGTTTAATATTTTACTGAGCAGTTCAAGATTTGTCTGAATAGAGATACTCATCGAATATTTCATATGCATCAAACACTTCCAAAACTTGAACCTTTCTGCGGGTAATTTTTGGAAGGCAGTTGCTGGTTTTGTTTTAAAAATGTTTTATCTGCTGTTTTGCTGTTCATTCACTTGTTCGATGCTAAATGAACGCATTTTGACACAGCGAAACTACGTTCTCATCAAATTTTTGACATGAATTCAGATATAAATTCATATTCTTCCCCGTAATACCATCACAGTCTTTTGTGCTGTCGATTAAGCCTAACTTAATGGAGCCTCGAAATTGGGCACAGGAAAGAAATTTTGATGCTCTGCCGACTATTTGTCGCTGTTAAATTTTCGAACATATTCTGTGTCCACACCTCACTGCAGAATAGTCCTAAATCTCAAGTGACTTAATTAGCATTACAGCGTCGTCAGGCAATAAGTCACTTATCGCGGTGCCCATCGATCATAACCGATCTCGAACTAGAGCCGTCGTCACAGTTGATCGGCGATCCTCTGAGAGCATTTTAATAAAAATCGTGGAATATTAGATAGATAGTGTTTGGCACCAAAACCGGTCATGCTTAGCCATGAAACACGAACCATTAGAAGCTGATGCATAAAAATTATGTTCACAGCAAACTGAGCTGAAGAATAACGTCAGAGTTTCGGTCGTTCAGCCACTTGAAGAATGATGCTTCTTAGTCGATAAATTTTCAGTTGCTATTAAAACTGTCATTCATCATGAGCTGTGGTATGCCAGAGCATATCAATTAACAAAGCACACCTCCAAGGTTCGATGTCACAGCATATTGCATCGCCTTCTCGCTTCTATTCATTTTACGTGGGTTGGGGGAGGATATATGGGCGCAATTCCTCCAAGACCTTTTATTGTCTACAGTGTCATGTGCATTTCGCTTCTTTTTTTCTCGTTAGTTTCATCTTAAAATCATCATTTTGGCAGGTAAGATAATTTAATCTTTGCATTTTTAAGGAATTTGGAGTTTGAGTAAATTAAAACACTTGGTTCCATAATTATTCGCTCTTTGGAGTCATTGCAAATATTTAATGAATTCAAACAATCTGTTCAGATGGTTCGCAGAAGAAATTGATGATTCGAAACAACCGGACAATAAATGTCAATCATTCCACTGTGAATCACAACATTCCTCGTCGCAGCTGTGCAAGTGTCGCATCGTAACGCAAATAATGATAAATGAACTACGGCGGATCCTTAAGTTCCTGCTTTGAGTGGCAATTCGGCCGTAAAATGACCTCGCCGGCGAAGCTGGTTGTAAATGTCACAACGTCGATCGAGAGGGCTAAACAGCGCGATCAATAATTCAACAAAGTTTTAATTAAAAGGGGTCAAGACTCCGTCTGGACGGGTGCAACAGCAAATTCCCAGATAACCGAATATCTATTTGTATCTGACCGAGAGTTTGAGCGGCCGCAAGGATAAAGCGTAAAAAATTTACGACCCACCGATTCATGCGATTTTGCTACTAAATGCTTATCAATGGAAAGAATCAATATAACACATGTCAGATCCGATGGAAATAAAATAGTGGTATCAGGCTGAAATAATCTATCTAGCAAATAAATATGGAATAAAACAGCATAAATTAGTAAGTGTAACAACAGATACAAACGGCTTAACGCTTTTTGTACGACACGACTA